AAGTTCCCTCATGCCCCTTTGCAGTTAATCTCCTTTTTTTACCCCCCAAACCCTAGCAAATACAGATCTTTCTTCGGCCACTGTAGTTTTGACTTTTCTAGACTTTGATATAATTGGACTCACAGTGTACAGTCTCTGTGTCTGGCTTCTTTCACTGAGATTAGTGCTCTTGAGATTCGTCCATGTTGTTGGGTGTAGTTGGCTCCTCAGTAGTCGGCTCTTTTTTATTGTTGACTTGTACTTTTCCTGAATTTCTTGAAAATGGTGCTTCATTCTTGTTTTGTTTTGAATGTTGCTCTTAAGAAAGCGGATGGTTGCTTATTTTTTTTTTTTACACTTATTAGGTAACAATTTTTTTGCCTTGAGGCTCTGAAGATTTTTTTCCTTGCCTTTAAAGTTTGATAGTTTTATTATTGTATGTCTTTAAGTCGATTGTTCTGGTAATAGTTTTACTTTCTGCTAAATTGTCTTTGAATATAGTTTTAAATATTGGTTTCTACTTAATCAGCTGAAATAGTTTTATTTGCCATTTATTTTCTTTTTACGGTAGCTTTGAATGGAAGTTCTTTTTCCTGCTTTATAGTTCAAGAGCACCTTTTGTCAGTTTAGTGACTTGCAGTTTCTTTAATGGACGATGATGTTGATAGTAGTGGTGGGGGAAGGGGAGGAGTTGGCATATCTTGTTGCTCTTTTGTTTCTGTAGGATCCTTAATTTTCTTCTTCTTTTACTTGATTGTCTCATCTAGAGGCACCATCCTTTCCCTGTTTATCTGATTCTCTCCTAGAAGTAGTGCTTCTTCAGGTTGCCACCTTCATCCCCCTAAATTCTTTTTTAAAACAGCTTAACTAAAGTATAAGTCCATATCATATACTTCAACCCATTTAAATTGTAAAATTCAGTGGTTTTAAGCAAAGCATCTTTTGGTTAAAAAAGTTTATTTCTGGATTGTTAAAATCAAGTTCACACATTTGATTTTTTTTTTTTTAAGATTTTATTGGGGAACTGGGGAAGGGGAATAGCCAAATTGTCCTTCAATCTTAGTTGTGGAGGGTGCAGCTAACTCAGCCCTAGTCCAGTTGCCATCCGGCCGCCTGTCGGCAGCTTGCGGCCGCTCAGTTCAAGGTGCCCTGTTCAATCTTAGTTGCTGGTGGGCTTAGCACACCATCGCATGTTGGAGTCCAACCGGAAACCTTGTTACTAAGAGCACATGCTCTAATCACTGAGCAATCTTGCCAACAGGATTTGGGAAATGAATTAGTAGAATTCTGGCAGCTCAACTGGGGCGTAGCTCAC